AAACCACAAATTTTAAGTTCGTTTCACAAAAAAATAAAGAAATAAATAAATTAAAAAATATATGCTTTTATATATGGGCAGGCAAAACAAAACCAAATTGCTGCAGAATTATAAGAACTGGGCCGTAATAAAGCTATAGCATGTACCTTTCAACATTCAAAAATTTAATAGTACATAAATGCTATATAAGTTAATTAGTCACTTAAGTGCCTTCAGGCCCATTGGAATTGTGTTCGGGTCGCCTAGAAGCGATTTTGAGAGGTGTGGGGCTGTGGGCAAGCTGAATAATAATGTTTGGAAACATGCCCAAATGCAGTAAATTTATAGCCTAAAAGTAGTTTTGCCCAAATAAGGTTTCCTAAGTGCAGTTTTTTTCTTTTCAATTATTCCTCTGCTTCTGTAATGATAGTCATAACTTTAGACAAACCACCCTCTCACACCACGAGCCACCGCCATTTCAGCTCAAGCTAGCCACCAACCTCCAGTAACCACCTAAGCTCCAGCCAGAAACCAGCATTAAGCAACCTTTTTCCCTGTTGCCATGCCATCTCATCATATTTTTCCCCCTTCAACAGATTGATGCTTCAGAAACCCATGAATGAAATCAACAAAATGGCCTGTCAAATTCTGTGCTCTAAAGTCCTTAGTCTACTGTTACCAATTAAACGAATAAAGCAAGCCTTCAGCATTGGTAAAATCTCTATTAACATGTAGAACGAGAATGTATGCATACAAAATACACTAATATTCATGTCTCCATAAGCATATATTGTAAATTTTATATTGTCGCTCCATACGAATGCACAAGTTATATTTTGGGACTATATTTTCATGTTAATAACTAATAATAATAAAAACAACAATCAATATAATCATTTTTGTATATTTAATATTATAATATACTGATAATAACATCAGTAAGGGCGAAATTAACATTTTAATGTATCTAATTCTACAATATAGCCAGAGAGATTGGGACTATATTTTCATGTTAATAACTACAATAATAATAAAAACAACAATCAATATAATCATTTTTGTATATTTAATATTATAATATACTGATAATAACATCAGTAAGGGCGAAATTAACATTTTAATGTATCTAATTCTACAATATAGCCAGAGAGACAAATAATTAGTTTTACCAGCCAAAAGCACTTAGGAACACAATCTGAACAGTAACACTGTGTTAGGCAGCATGGAATCCATGCATTAATTTTGGAATTAGAGGACATTGAATTAAAATTTTGAACTAATATAGTTTCCAATTCCAATTACAAGGCCTGCATTCCTTGGTACCAATCACATACTTGAACTCATCACGATTACACTCGTTCCAATAATCAAGTCTGAAGATTCAACTTATAAGTTACGGTTCTGCAAACACGTAGTTCATTGATACCTGTTTTGGCAAATCAAAGCCAACGATCTCAAATATTGCCAATAATTGAATGAAACGCAGGAGTCACTAGAGAGAAATATAACCAAAACTTAACTCAGCAAAGCGTCAAATTACAAAGAAATTAAACCCTAGTCACAAAATGATTATTTTCCATGTTTCTGCCAAAGAAGGGAAAAAAAGAAATAAAATAAAATAAAATACATAAAAATTATAAATTTATTACCAAATATCGACATCGAAAAAGAAAAAAAAAAGAAAAAGAAAAAAAAAGCACTAACATGAACTCAGAAAACCCGAGTGATCTCGTTAACATGGGCTATTGATAAACCCTATGTTGGGCACATCGTGGAAAATGTTCGATTTCATGTAATCCAAACGCAAAAACACGTTCTTGATCGTGAATTCTTGATCAAACCCTAAATCTCGAAGAAATGAATAATATATGAAACTGATATTGCAAGAAACAAACAAAATAGAGAGTGATACGCTATATACAGAGCAAAAGCGAGTAAATCGACAACCAAACACAAATCAACAGCTGTGAATTGACAATTCGAAGCAGAACAATCGACATTTTGTGAAAGATGAAAACAAATTCGTGATCGAGAGAGGGGTCACCTTCTGATTTGAGGAGAATTTGGTATCTTCTGACGGGCTTTGACTCGGAGGGAGAGAGAGAATGTTGTGAAACTACATAATTTTTTTTAGATGCTAATGTCCAGAACGATGAATAATTTTCATCACGCGTCCAGAACAAATCAAAAAAGGTTTTAAAGCAAAATTTTATTGGCCAACCTTTTACACTTTTTGTGTAATTACTATCTGATTATAATTTCGCTATTTTAATTGATTTTTTTTTTTTTTTACTTATTAGATGAAGTAATATGGTAAAAAGGATTATTATACAAATTTAAAAATTATATCTAATTTTTAAGTTTAATGATGTGCATCAATTTTTGTATTTTTTTATTTTTGACTGTTTTATCTCCTTCTCAAACTATCCATAATCTACTTTGAAAGTGTTAGATTATCGCCAACGTTTACTCAAATTTTTTATTAAATTTAAATAAAAAATTAATAAAAAAACTTAATTTTATATGATGCACTCCAACGGGTTTTAACAATTCGGCCTATCATTCGGCTCATCGTTCGATAAGAGTAAATTTTCACCCTAACTCATTCCAAACCCAATTGTCAAGTAGGATGTCCGGCTCAACGATCACCTACAAATTTGATGAAAAGATAAAGTGCTTCCTTAATTTGATTATTAAAAAAAAAAAGTAACTCTCCTGTCACGATCCAAACCCGCTCCTATAGATTTAGTATCGTAACCGACCAGTAATCCTGGGATTACCAAAGGCCTCTGAGACAGATTAACATAATATTAAGGGCTAGCTGAAGCAAATAACAAATATACAACGTCCATTGAGCTGTGCAGACTTATATGAGACAGAAAAATTTTAAACTTTTTATATACATATATACACATCATCCCTACGTCATAATATATATATACAGATCAGACAAAAAAGACTTAGCCCCTTTTTCAAAATACACAAGACTTGTTTAACCAAACAAGAAAACAGAACTTAAACTTTAAATCACATAGCAGCAATCACTTGACATATCCGGAACCTCCACGGGAGGCACAACGGTTGGCTGACAAAAACAGAAATGAAGGCTGTCAACTCTGGCCCTGATCACGTGCCGGCTCGCCTACATACATAATATAAACTGTGAGCGAAAGCTCAGTGAACAATAACAAAGTAAAGGGGTTTCAATGAATGAGTTCGTACAGATTCAGAAATCATAATTCAGTTTCATATCAAATTCATAATTTGTCCAGATCATATACAGAAATCACAAGGTATGCTTAAGTATACGTGATACATCCATTAGCATTAACAGAGCAGATACAGAACAGATGCAGACACGTGAGGGTTACGAATAACCAGTTCCATAAAGGAACCTCCGAATCCGGGTAATAGAGAATAAACACGCTGAGCCCCCATGACGGGGCCTCCGGTACTGGTAACAGAGTGCAGACAGATTAAGTTCCATGATGGAACCTCCGATACCGGGTAACAGCCAACAGATATCACATGATGCTAAGGATGTCACGAATATATATCAGAAATTAGACAATCATTTATTGTACAGAACATATTATTTCAAAAAACAGATCTTAATTCATCACACCAAAAATAAATAAAGTTGAACATAACTTTACTATGTTATTACTCACAGATAACTGCAGAAGCAAATCAAACAGACTGGACATATCAGATAAATCAGGCAGACAATGGCGCGTGACCTACACAAGCACATAACATAGAGTAATGCTAGAGACCCCAAATATTCTACCAAAAGTTTTACCAAATGTCTCACATGTGTTGTGGGTCCCACACCCATGTGAGACATTTGGTAAAACTTTTGGTAGAATTTTTGGGGCCTCTAGCATTTTTGTTTAATTTATGTTTAGGATTAATTCAATTAAGCATCACTTAATCTTAATAAATCTTAATCAACACATTATTAAATTAATTATAACAAATCATAAATCTCTCATAATTTAATTAATCTATTTGACTTCCATTAGAGCCTAATTAAATATATTTAAATTTATCAATCTGAATCAGATTTTAAATCAATATCCCAAAAGGCTCCAATTATTAAATTGAACTTATTATCATCCTTAATTTTGTTTTCTTAAATTATCTAGGCCTTCAACTTCTGATTAGATTCCAAATTTTCGTCAATCAAATTACATATTCAAATTAAACACCCTATAAATAAATTTAATTCGTAATAATTACAATTCTCAATTTTCATAATTTAATTAGCTTGATTAACTCCAATTAGGATCTAATTAATCGAATCTCAATTTTACTAAGCTGAAACGAATATTTAATTAAACTCCTAAATGGGTCCGTAATTAAAATTAAATTGATTCAACTTCCTAACTTCACTTCCTTAAGCCATTTGGACCCTTAATTTCTAATTTCAAAATAAATCTTTAATAAAATCATATACGAGTCAGATCCCACAATTCTCATAAATCCCAACTTAAATTATAATACTCGACAATTAAATTTCAAATCCTCTTAATTAATCATGTACTAATCATTATACGTGATGGGGTCGTTACAGTAGTAGAATTTCGGACTATTTTGACGGAAAAAGACTACAAAAGTCAAGTTTGATCAAGGAAGTAATATTGTATTTCAATGTGTATATGTTATGTCAAAAATGCTAGAGGCCCCAAAAATTCTACCAAAAGTTTTACCAAATGTCTCACATGGGTGTGGGACCCACATGCGAGACATTTGGTAAAACTTTTGGTAGAATATTTGGGGTCTCTAGCATTACTCTAAATTAAATTATGGAACAAATTAGAATTGTGTGTGGGTGTGCAGAGAAACTTGTGTGGGGGTATTGAGAAATCTGATTGTGTGCATATGTATAAGTGATGTGCTGGAAGCTTGACCCAAGGTGCACGTGTGCTATATGTGTCAACAAGAGAGGTGTGCTTGTGTGTGTGTATATGTTGAAATATTTGAATGAAGGCTTATTTGGGTGTTCTGCTAGAAACCCGTGTGAGAGAGGGAGAGAGTGTTCCAGGCACTTAGTTGCTGGGAAATAAAATAAAATGGGGGAGTTGCTCTATGTCAAGGAGAGAAAGATGGAGCTCAAGGAAGCATGGGTTTAAAGAAAGGAAAGGGAAAATTCAAAGGAAATTCACCACTCAAGAACTCTAGGTATGAAATTTAAGTTCAAATCTTTTAGATTAATCACTTAAAAGCTGGAAAAAAAGAAGAAGAATAGCGAATTAGATTCAATTTCATGTAATAAAAAATAAATGAGCAGGAAGATGAAGAAAATCAAGTTTAAGTGTAGGATTATGGAAATAAATTCGAAAATTAGTTAGTTTGAGTTTGATTTTTATTGTTCTTCATAAATTTGAGGTTCATCCTTACATGCATGCTAGAATTTCAAAGTTTTAGATTTAATCCATATGTAAAAAGACTTATGAGATTAAATTTGGGTTTGCATGTAAAATCAAGTTAGGACCAAGAGTATGAATCATGAGTTCTTAAATTTGTTAAACTTTGGTTCAATTTCATATAAATAGAAGAAGTTAGCAAGATGATGAATAAATGGAGTTATGTTCAATTTATGGAAATTAAATTAGAAATCAATTATTTTGACTTTAATTTTGTAATCTTGCATGAGATTAAATTCCATTTGTTACATGCATGAATAAATTTTAAAGAGATTTAGATTAATTCAATCATGAATTTTGAAGAGATTTGGATTAATTCAATCTTGCATGAATACTCTAATGATGCATACATCATGAATTTTGAAGGATTTGGATTAATTCAATCTCATATTTTGAAGAGAAAAAGGAAATGTTTTATGAACATCAAGTTTGTGGAAAATTAGAATTAATCCTAATGCTAGAGAAAGCTTTGATTTTATAATTAGATTTTTAATCCATGCATGTAATGTAATTTAAGATTTTATTTGAATTAAACATATTTTTATTACAAATTAAGTTGAGTTTAAGATTATGGAAATTAATTGGAAAATTTATAAGAAGTTTCATGACTCCAATTTCATGATTTCAAGGAAAATAAAAAGAACTTGAGGCCAATTTTATGTAATTAAAGAAAAAATGAGAAATTGAAGCTATGATCAAATGTATGAAAATTAATTTAGAAATTAATTACTTTGGGTGGAATTTATTTGTCCTAACATGAACTTGAGTTCCAATTGTACGTACATTATGAACTTTTCAAGAGTTTTGAAAGTTTCATTCGTGTTTTAAAATTTGTGGGCTTGAAATTGAGTTTGATATGGAGAAGATGAGTTAAATCTAAATTTGGTCAACTGGAGCATGATTTTGAATAAATGATTTCTAATTGAGAATGTTTACTAAATTATACAATGGTTCTCCATTTTTGTGTACCAAAAATACATGTTTTGAGGCTTTGAATATCAAATATGAACTTCAACTACAATTTTAGAAATTTCAGAATTTATGTTGTCCGCTCGAGCGAGGAAAGTCTCGCTCGAGCGTGAAAATCGAGCTCCTAGTAGTTTTTCAAATTTTGCAGTCCGCTCAAGCGACCAAAGTGGCGCTCGAGCGGAAACCCATTTTCAGCATGTTTTGGAAAATTGCATTTAGTTCACATTTTTATTCTCATCTCTTTCTAAGGCATTCTAGACATGATTTATGACTCAATAAAGATTAATAAGCTATCATTCAACATAGATTAGTTAGTTGAAGAATGAATCTTTGATCTAGTGGTAATTGTTTAAGAAGCCAAGTAAAAGATCAATCTATTTGGAAAAGAAGGGCTTAATATTGGAAGAATATGTGAAATAAGAACCCGGTTTATTTGAATGAGAAAGAATAAGCGTAGTAGAACTTCGGACTATTTAGACGGAAGAAGACTAAAAAAGTCAAGTTTGATCAAGGGAGTAATATTGTATTTCAATGTGTATATGTTATGTGCTTGTGTAGGTCACGCGCCATTGTCTGCCTGATTTATCTGATATGTTCAGTCCGTCTAATTTGCTTCTGCGGCTATCTGTGAGTAATAACTTAGTAAAGTTATGTTCAACTGTACTTATTTTCTGTGTGACAAAATGAGATCTATTTTCTGAAATGATATGTTCTGTACAATGAATAATTATCCAATTTCTGATATCTATTCGTGACATCCTTAGCATCATGTGATATCTGTTAGCTATTACCCGATATTGGAGGTTCCTTTATGGAACTTAATCTGTCAGCACTCTGTTACCTGTACCGGAGGCCCCGTCATGGGGGCTTAGCTTCTGTTCTGTTACCTGGATCCGGAGGTTCCTTTATAGAACTGGTTATTCGTAACCCTCATGTGTCTGTATCTATTCCGTATCTGCTCTGTTAATGCTAATAGATGTTCACGTAAATGTAAGCATGACTTATGATTTCTGTATATGATCTGGACAAATTATGAATTTTGAATCTGTACGGACTTATTCATTAAAACCCTTTACTTTGTTATTATTCACTGGGCTCTAGCTCACTGTATTATTTATGTATGTAGGTGATCAGGCACGTAGCCAGGCTTAGAGGCATCTGCCTAGAATCTGTTTTTGTCAGCCAACCTATGTGCCTCCCGTGGAGGTTCCGGATGTGTCAAGTGTTTATGGCTATGTGATTTAAAGTTTAAGTTCTATTTTCTTGTTTGGTTAGTCCTGTGTATTTTGAAAAAAGAGCTAAGTCATTTTTGTCTGATCTGTATCTATATTATGACTTAAAGATAATGTGTATGATGCACATAAAAAGTTTAAAATTTTTCTGTCTCATATAAGTCTGCACAGCTCAACGGACGTTGTATATTTGTTATTTGCTTCCACTAGCCCCTAATATTATGTTAATCTGTCTCAGAGGCCTTCGGTAATCCTAAGATTACTGGCCGGTTACGATGCTAAACCTATAGGGGCGGGTTTGGGTTGTGACAACTACGCTTATCCTTTCTCATTCAAATAAACCAGGTTCTTGTTTCACATATTCTTTCATTACTAAGTCTTTCTTTTCCAAATAGATTGATCTTTTACTTGGCTTCTTAAACAATTACCACTAGATCAATGATTCATTCTTTAACTAACTAATTTATGTTGATTGGTAGTTTATTAATCTTTATTGAGTAATAAATCATGTCTAGAATGCTTTGGAAAGAGATGAGAATAAAAATGTGAACTAAATGTAATTTTTCAAAATATGCTGAAAATGGGGTCTTCGCTCGAGCGCCACTTTGGTCACTCGAGCGGACTGTAAAATTTGAAAAACTTCTGGGAGCTCGATTTTCACGCTCGAGCGAGACTTTCCTCGCTTGAGCGAACAACGTAAATTCTGGAATTTCCAGAATTGCAATTGAAGTTCAAATTTGATATTCAAAGCCTCAAAACATGTATTTTTGGTACACAAATATGGAGAACCATTGTATAGTTTAGTAAACACTTTCAATTAGAAAACATTCATTCAAAATCATGCTCCGATTGCCCAAATTTAGTTTTAATTCATCTTCTTTATATCAACCCACAATTCTAAAATATGAATTAGACTTCCCAACCTCTTGAAATTCCATGATGTATGTAATACAAATAGATCCACTTTTACTATTAATAACAAAATCAACTTAACTCAATTTTTAACCAAATACTTAATTTATAATCATGGATGTTCTAAATGTATCTAAATTGAATAAAATTCTTAAATTACATCACATGCATGGATTAAATAAAAATCTAATAATAAAATCAAAACTTTAGGATTAATTCCAAATTTCCATAAACTTGATTTTCTTAAAACATTTCATTTGTCTCTTCAAAATATGAACTTGTTGGCTTATTTTTCCTACGAATGAAAATATTATAAATGTGAGCGTGCCAGTAAGGATTAAAAAATCCTTACAGATTAAATTCAAGCCAATTATCAAGCGATTGCATTGACGGTTCTTTTGCCTCAATAAAGAGGACTTAAAAATTGCCAAGTGTAGAGAAAATAAAAATTAAAAGAAGAAAGAATGAGACAAAAAAGATGATTGAGTGAACAATCAATAGTAAAAATTACTTACCTCTACTCCTATGCTTCGAAAAGGAAGTGCATAAAATGCTTTGAAAATGAAATGCTGAAAATAAATGTTTCGAAATATAAATCTATGTTAAACTACTCATAAGATAAGGAAAATGACAAGAAATATTGAAATCAATTGTCTTTGATTTGAATTCTGGGATCTTTTACAATGTAGCCATGAATGGCTATTTATAGACAAATATTTGTAGGAAAAAACTTCCAGCAATAACTACCCAATAACCACCTAAAACTACCCACTCTTCCATCTTCATTCCCATAATGCCACATAACCCTCTATGTCTTCATAACTTCTCATAACCTCCAAATGAATAGGAGGATGCCACATGTCCTGCAATTATATAAATAATAAATAATAATAAAAATTGTAGATTTATGGTGCTAACATTACCCCCCGCGGCCCTTAAAAATGATGTTTATTTGAATTTTTTGAAGGGCCGAACCAAGTACACGACTAATCTAAGCAATAAAGTGCTTCGAATAATATCAACAAAGTGCTTCGAATGATATAATAGCACTAATAAACTGCTTCGAGTGAGCATGAAATTATGACTAAATGTTGCGAATTATATATATACACATTGAAGAGATATTATTGCAGAAAAGTTTCGAAGGATAACCACATATTTTCAAGACAAAGCCAATGATTCGCCTTAACAAACTGTTACACATGCTAAATAACCAGCTTCGAAGGTGGTATAGAGGACTAAAATTATCATTCAAAGGTCGAAAATGCAACAAAGGACGAATTACATCCTTGGAAATACTCGGCAAAGCTTCGAAGGTTCACAACTATCACTATTTTTTCTTCGAAGCTGTTGTTGATGCAAGATGGAGTGCTTTGAAGTCTACAAAATTATGGCAAAAGGGCTTTCGAAGCAATTTTCGGCCAACATTGTGGTTATTCAAATTTTGTATGTTTTGGTTCACACATAATTAATGAAAATATTAATTTTATACATTAAACCAATTATTAATTCTCCGAAGACACCAAAACCATTGTTCTTTGAACCAACTTTTATAGAATACTAGTTACATTTTCATGTAACAAATGGCTATAAAAATGGTTATCAGTAAAGCCATTAATTATCATGCCAAAAATAGGTATTATTCGATAATTAATTAATTGTCATTTTACATATATTTGAAGGGAGGTACACATTTCGAAAGTTTTCTCGTCCCATGTTACATTTCGAAGGTGTTTATTGATGACAAAACCACCATTCGAAAGTCACATATGTTACTAAAGGATTAAAGTCGTC